TATATATATATCAATTCTATGAATGTATTTACTGTATATCACAAACACATATTAATAAAAAGGGAAGAAAGAAAAGTTATTTCAAAAGAAAAAAAAAAGTAATGGAAAGATCTTTTGCTTACCCTTAATTTGTTTTAGGTTACTTAGGTGAGGAGGTAGTGAATGAAGCTGAATCAAATCCATGAATATTCTATCTAAAATCTATAGTTTTACAGTTTAGAAAGCAACTTTGAAATATCTTATTTGATTTGCTCCTTCCAACAAACTGTGAGATAACAGACATTATTATCTGTAAAAAAGCACAGTATTTGTGAACAAAAAAGTATCTTACACGAACGAGCTGCTACTGCTTTCCATGTGATGAAGCCAGAGGAGGCATGTGACTGGCCCAAGGTCACACAGGTAAGGGGAAAGCCGGAGCTCACACCAAGAACTCCTGGCTCAATGTAACACTTCTCTGGTTTGGTGCTAATATGAGCTAACTCTGAAGAGGAAAGCCAGCTCCTGAGCCATCTGGCCATCCTAGAAACACTGCCATGGGGAACTAGGCAAGCAGGTATAGATGGCCTTGCATAACTCATCATTTCTGTGAAAATAATTCAGTACTAGAAAATAATCTCTGTACTAGAAAAAACTTGTTTAGAAATTTGGAGGGGGTTGGGGATTGAACTCAGGGCATACTAGGCAAGTACTCTACCCCCAAACTATATCATCAGCCTAGAAACTCTTTAAAAAAAATGTATATATGTCTAATATATATTAACAGCTACACATCCGCTACACGTTAGCTCATCTTTCAGTGACAGCTCATTAACACCAAGAGATAAAGATTAGTTGCAAATACTGTGTGCTTTAAATGGACCCAGAAGTCAATACCCAACAGGAGGAAAGGGGCGAAACACTGGCCCAATAGATATTCCAAAGTCTTATTGCAGTGACTCTAAGTGCAGAGTCCTCCATGATGCTGCCTGTCTTCTGGAAAATACCCATCACCTAGGAAACCTTCTCTAGTCGACTTTATTCTGACTACATTTGAAATTAACACACAAATGCTGAAACAACCTGAAATGGAAGACTTTACACTTGGTGATGTGTTTATTCACCCCAACATCCATTTATCCAATATTCTGGAGCACTTACCCCATACAGCACACTAAGCTGGGCACACAGGATGATGACAATAACAACAACAACAATAACAGTAATAAAAAAGCAAACTAGGCCGGGCATGGTGGCGTATGCCTGTAATCCCAGAACTCGGGAGGCTGAGGCAGGAGGATCACTGCGAGTTCGAGATCAGCCTGGGCTACATAGTGAGTTCCAGGTCAGTCTCAACTCCATAGTGAGACCCTGTCTCAAAACAACAACAACAACAACAACAAAAAAAACAAAACAAAAGAAAAGCAAACTAAATACAATCCTTGTTTTCAGGGAACTTAAGAGACTAGCATTGCTTTTATAGTATGTGGTTTCTGGGCCTCTTACTGTTTCCTAGGTCCACAATTAGACTGTGTACTCTTTATGAGCAAGAACCATATGTTCTAATTTTAAAACACTCTTACGTAGCTGGGTGTGGTGATGCATGTACGTAATCCTAGCAGTCAGGAGGCTGAGGCAGGAAGATTGCTGTGAGTTCAAGGTCAGCCCGAGCTACAAAGCAAGATGCTGTCCCAAAACACAAACCAAAAATAAAAAACACCCTTAAAGCATGTTGCACAAGACTCTACACAGCAAACTGATAAGCTAAACGGGACAAGGGTCCCTGACTCCATAATCTGCAGTCCCTCCAGGACAGTGCAAGACCGAATTATTTAAAATTTTAGAGCAGTGGTGGTGAACCTACAGCACGGGTGCTGCAGTGGGCCGTCTGTTACCCCTGAGAGCTCTAACGGTTCGCCCTCACTGTTCTAGGGTGTCAAAAGCTACCCACAGGATGAGCCTGGAGATAAGGGAGCGCAGCACGACCCAGGACGCCCAAAAGGGGACCCAGGTCCCAGAACCGACCCTCTGACAGGGGCAGAGGATCGGGCAGGGGTGAAGGCAAGGAAAGCCCTGACCCTGCAAAGCTACACAACCCCACAGGAGACCATGGTGCTATAGCTATTGAAATCACAGGTATGAAGAGCAGGAAATGCCTGGACTGCTGAAGAGCACCTACCTACTGCCAGAAGAGCAGAAAGGCACCTCCCACAATCTACAGGGTGAATCTGCGAACCCAGTTAGACAGGACCAGGCAACGGAAAGGGCCGGGGATGCAGAATCAAAAGAAACCCAAGTTTCACTGCAGACTCTGACATTAGTCAGCCAAGATGGCACTGGATAAGCCAGGAATCCTCTCTGAGACTGTTTCCGCTTCTGCAAGATGAGAGTAATGACTCCTGATTTGTCCACCTCACAGAAACGTGGTAAAGCTCAAACGAGACAGTCTGAGATCTGTATCTATGAAGACATCCGAATTCCCAGAGAAGCATCTCAGGAAGACTCAGGAACCCTCACAGCCGCTGCCTTCTCCTCCCCGCCTCTATCTCCTCACAGTCCCTGAATTCCCGCTGACAGACAAAAAGGGGAGAAGGGCCGCTGCGTACACCATTTTGACTCCTTGCTTTGACAAGCCTCGGTAACCCCGTCCCAGGGTCAAGGGAAAGAGGAGCAGGTCCGATCCAGGCCTCTATCCCTCGTGGCTGTCTCCGTGCTTTCCTATCTGGCGATTGCTGAGCAAATCTGAATGGCACTCTGAAGCAATACAGAGATTTATGTTTGAGAGAGATTACGTGCATGTTATGTCACATTCTGCAGTCAAAAGGAAATTATCCTTAGCATGGATAAGGTTAACCGGACAGGGAGAGAACAATTGCTATCGGGCAATACCCTTCCCTGCCTCTCCAATCATATTTTTTCCAGGACTGGCCCTTCCATTTGCTTGCTCAGCCCTCCAAACCTCCCATGTATTTAGCTAGACTGTGCAGACACCTACAAAACACACCTCCCTCGAGTCTCAAGGAGGGGAGGGAGGCGGAGCTCGAGGAAGGGGAAAGGCAGGCACCTTGCAGAGTTGAACGACGACCGCCACACTGCAAGGCTGCGGAGGCCGCGGAGGCCGGGCTGAGCCGGGGGAGGGGCGTCACGCGGGCCTCTCCGACGGAGGGCCAGCGCCTCTCTCAGCCCATCAGGCCCAAGAGCCCCAAACAACTCCTCCCGGCTCCAGGCCCATTCTGCAGAGTCCAGTTTATTAACAGTTTGGAAGCAAAAGCCCCGGGCAGCAGCCGTTGGGCAGATCTCAATTCAAACTCCAAGCTTGGGGCACGGGAAGTTCGAACGTGACCGAAGCACATTAGCCAGTGGTAAAAATGCAGCCCTGTAAGGGCGCAAAGGGCATTTCTATCCCCCGATTCAGCCAAGAACATCCTCCTCCTCCTAGAAAGGGGAGTTACCCCACTGCCCCATAACCAGCTTGGTGGAGGCCCACACCCCTGCCGGGCCC